TAATGGACAGGCAACTAGAAAAAAGTCATGGAACTTTGTTTTTATATATGACAACTGCAACGCAATTATTATAAGCTCAAAAGTAGAAAGGTTTGACACTACCCACAATGGAGGAATGGAGTGAAGATGATGGAACTTGCAAAGATGGCTAAATTAACTTCCTTGATTAGAGAAAAAACAGTACCTACGTTTATGGCTGACTGGAAACCCCTTATAGACTTTTTGCATGAAACAGAAAAAAATGCACTTATGATTTGTAGTTTTGATGATTAGAAAAAAACTGGATAATAGAAGAAAGTGAGGTGTTTTTTTTTTTGTAGGCATTGAATAAGGGTTAATTTTGTAATTGTACTTTATTGCAAAATTTATTGTGAAATTTATTGCAAAAAAAATCGGAAGCTTCTTTCTTTTAGTCCTCTCTTTTTCTACTTTTTCTCACTTCTTTTTTCTTTCTTTGCTATTTTTATTCTTTATTAGTTGGTGTTAGTTTTTATGTTCTTTATAAAAGCTTTAATAACATGTATTTAAAAAATTAAATAAAGAAATAATACCAAATTGATTCTACTGCAGTTGCCTTAACCATTAATTTAATACCTGTTTGATGTTATGTCCAGCTGAGAAATCCATGCACAGTATTTGAGAATACTTTCTTCTTTATAGTTCTTTTAATAAGGAAGTATCTCTCATTGTTCCAGACATCTTTGTAATGCTCATATAATTAAGAAATACATATCAAGAAATGTATGACAGAATAAACTTCCTTCAATAGTCTGACTTTATTGAAGGAAGTTTATTCTGTCATACATTTCTTGATATCCTGAAACTCTTGAATCTTTCAGTCCCAAATGATGTATGTTTTCTGCATAATGTGATTTACAGCATAATCTGATGCAGGGTTTGTCAGAATAAAATAATGTTTTAGGCAAAGAATCTAAGTTCATAGTACATGTGTTTTTCTTTTTGAAAAAATGCTTACTTGCCACTTTTAATCTGCTTATTAAAGTTTTAAAAGATAAAAAAAATGAAGTGTTGAAGTTGTTTTAGGATTTATCTGATACCTCTAAAAATGATACAAAAGCATTTTGATAAGACACATCTGTTCTATTTTAACTTATTTTACTCATATATGTTTTAAAAATTTCTTTCTTACTTTGGAAATATCCCAACTGCAAAAGCCTCATGAAACAGAAAACTAGCTTGACAAAAAAACAAAACAAAACCATGAAACACAAAACAAAAACCATCCAAACCTGCCTTGGCAGCTGTTTTAAAAATTAAGAAAGCCATAAGAAAAAAGATATCATCATCATTGGTAGTAGTATAAAAGCAATAGTAATTTCTATTGATTGCAATGAGCTTTATAGACTCTTCTGAAAGATAAATATCATTCAGTTCAATTGGATTTACACCTAGGAATGTGGACACAGCACTGGAATTTTGTTCTCAAGTAACTGTAGATAGGACAATAGATTATTAAAGATATAGGCATGATTCATTGTTATTATTTTTCTGTTCTTCCTATCCAGGGCTTCTAGTCCATCTTCAGTCCAGTCCAAGATTTCAGCTGTATTTGCCTAGGTGTTAATCACCTTGATGGTATTTCTGCCACTGTTTGGACTTCTTCACTCTTCTGATGTATTCACTACTAACCTTCTTCTTGACTTCAGCGTGATGTTGTCAGCCTGAAGGATGCCCAGGTATTTCTAGTGATCTTCCTCATCCAGACTCTTGATGTTATTTCCATAAGGCATCTTGATTCCTTCACTTTTCACTATTTTTCCCCTGTTGATGGTAAGGATAGCACATTATTATTATTATTATTATTATTATTATTATTATTATT